GAAGGTAGCAGGTGTAAAACTTCAATGATCAGATCTATGTTAAAAGTATCTTTGATAACAGAAGTGTTCATGAAAGTCCTGAAGTTTGAATTTTATCATGACAATCCTGAAGTTTGAAATTTATTTACATTTTAATGCATTTAATTATTATACTTATAAACAGAATCTCTTGTTTAAGCGCAGGAAAGACATACTGTATGTACATAGTAAAATGTATTCAAGAATCTGTGATTATATACAAGAAATAATGAGAAAGATTAAGCAGAATTGTTATAAATTCATATCATCCAACATCAACATTTTATAGATATCCCGTTACAATAAAATATAATAGATTTAAGATTTTACAAGGACTTCTTTTCACAAAAAATGTTACGAAATTTATCTTTGAATAGTTTTCAAATGGTAAAATCAAATATGGTAATTTTAATGAAACTCTGCAATTTAATACAGTAAAATGCCTCGCCACAGTTCTGATTTTTTGTAAACACTTCTGCTTCTGGATCGTTGATGTCACTTTTATTTTAAGTTGTTGTTATTGTTTTTTTTTAATTTCCCAGCTATCAATGGATACGTTAGACTTTACTATGAAAACTGTTATAGAATCTATAAATTTGTTGTTGAAGAAATCAGTAAAGAAATATGTTTTGATGCTATGTATACTACATTTGTAATCTTATTATGTCTGTGAAATTGTTCAAGTAATATGGTGTTAATACGGTGTTATAGTGTTATGTGATAACATATTTGGAAAATAATGTACATGTATATAATGATTAAAGTTAATTGTTATACTGCGCTTTCTTGTATATTATAAACATATATGATGAACTTTTGTGATGGCAAGTTGTATCCCCGGTGTCATTCTTAAACTGAACCACATTGTAGATTTCGACCAAACGTTATATCAATGAACCTTTGTTTGATCCTCAGCAAAAGTTACATAATTGATTACAATTTGAGTGAGATGGATAAGTATGTCACTAAACAATGTACCTTAAATAGGCCGAAAAAGAAATATTTAAAATTTGGCCTAACCTGATCATACTTTGGTTTACACAGCCTTACATAACTTATGTTAAACTACAATATCAATAAAAGAGTGTAACATTATCTTTTGGATCTCTACATAAGTTATATAGATTCTACCCCGAGAATCAAAAATGGCTGCCTCATTTGTATGAACCCATATGGGCCAGAATAATTGCTCACTTACTGGTCTGGTCGTAGAGCCCATATCAGCGGCGACTTTTCAAGCTGAATCTCCTCTGATTTGTTTTTCCTGCTGTACTTCCGGGGCATCATCTAACAAAACTGCTCTTGTTAGCGTCACCTTCCCGGATTAGTCACGACAGGTCAAACAATCATCTTTGGTACTTTGGATGACTTGACACTGACCTGCCGTGTGCCTTTGGAGGGATTTGGAGAAGCGGCTGCCTCCATGTATGCACGTGTATGTATTTAAGGCTTAATGAGGGTCCATTCGCTCTTTCCGGCACTGAGAGAACAGACCCTGGACATGATACCATTCATGTCCTTAAATTTTATAATCTACCAAAAGGTGATAAATTTTGAATTCAGTAATTTACTGAATGATACCAAATATGTATGCAAATCGATTTTGTGGTGATTCTATTTTGAGGCACAGGAGGCCAATGAGACCATTATATACATCATGGATACAAATAAGGTATTGCTTTCAAAATAAATTATTATTATATCTTTCGAACGAGCTTGACTGACTGATTACGTTATGCAACTCGGACTGTTACCGGACGCATGTTTTCCGTATGCAAGAACATTCTTTCCAGTTTTTCACATGAATTTTTTTCCACAACTGCGGTTCTTTTTTTAATTTTGTATAAACTGATATTAGTATAGAGAATACCCCAAACGGGTGAAATATAAAATATATTATAGCTTTAGGAAATGATATAGAACAGATCATTTTATTTTGTTTTCCTTTTCATTAAGGGTAACTTTATTCAAAGAGGGGGAGGGGGCTTGTCTCCATTCTTTATCATTCTTCTCAGGTAAACTGAAGTTAGCCCATATGACTAGCTCATATGACTGTATTTGCTAAGTTGGTGGATAAGTATCGTCCATATTTTTAAGAATATGTCGCATATGGGGTTGCGATGTAAAAAGGCTGTATTTATTTGTTTTCAATGACCTTAGCTTGTGCAACATTTAGTGAAGTTGACTCATACAGGAAAGAGCTTTATTTAATTTGGTCTTTAGGCATACTGAAGGACCTTATATTGTCCAATCTCATATTTTCCAATATATATATATAATCTTTTAATAAAAATCATAATTTGTGAAACTACAACGTTCAGAGCTTAGATATTTAACACTTAGTATGGTCTAGTAAAGGTAACATTAATTTTGCCCAAGTGTTAACGCTGGTCTTGCTCTGGTGTCACTTAGTTAACATATAGTTTATAAATATTTTAAATCCCAGAAACTGCACTGACTATAGCTATGCTATCTGACATGTAGCATGACATCGTGTCACTTAGATAGAACTCCAATATTAAAGTGAGAATTGCATTTACTATAATCTTGTATCAAGTACTAACAGTACCTTAAGTTCTAGATAGACGCCGGTCATATCTACTCGATTAAATTGACAATTTTGTTGGACACTTTCAGATAACAAATTAAGAGCACATTGAATAATATTATAAGACATACTCTTTGTCTTTGTTTTAGAGTGATATATGTGTGATGAAACAAACAAACACAAATGTTTTGTACACAATATTTATTAGTAGAACAAATGTCCTTCTAGACAAGACAAAAAAACGAAAATTAGAGAAAAAACAACAATAGCAACAAAACAAACAAATAAACAAAAACATGTACATTTCTATAATGACTTAAAATTCTTTGATGTACTCGTACCATGGTTCGCACATTGTTTTACATTGTTTGATATCTGTATTTTATGAACTAATCTGTTAAATTAACATTCTTACATGCAATGATGTCTGCACATAAGTTAGGTCAGTGCTATCTTTAACTTGCCTAAGCCTACCACATCTTTTATTACTTATACTTGTATGCAATTTTGTAAAAAAGAAGATTTTTCTGACGTTTTTAAGTGTAACTGCCCTCTGTTCATTTGTCCGGAATTATAAATAAAATAATCAATTATCATAGAATTGCAAGCAATCCATAAATACCCTACTGGTTAGAACCCCAGCAACATTCTGATTGGCCATTGACCATTCAATTATACCACAGAATAATGAAGTTAAATCTGTTTAGTTCTTAGTTTGTCTGTACCATAGTAATGTGTTAAGTTTTTCCTGCTTAGTAAGGAAATTATGTTAATACAACTGATAATCATAAGGTCCAATTTTCTCACAGTGAATAACTAATGTTTTAACTTTTCCCTATTGTAAGTAAATTTGTTGGAAATTTTTTTTTAAAAGTGATCTCACGAAACAGGTTTTATGAACAGACTGAAGGAGACACTTAAGTTATTTTTTTTAAACTCCATGTTAACAAAATGTAATATTTTTTAAAGAAAAATTCTTAGAGGAGATAACTCTTGAAGTAAAGATGCTGTATTTATGAACATTGTCATACATGATGTGAGTGTAACAAAGCACAATTATTTTAAGTTTAAAGATACCATTTATAGTCACACAGAAGAAAAGTAAATAAATAACAATTTTCAAATATAGCATTAACATGTATAGTAACAAAGATGAATATTAAAAAAAAAAATAATGTACTGTACTGTAGGTGATAATGAATGTTTATTTTGAATTTGAAGTAAATCCATGAAGAAATAAGAAAGTTAAAGAATGAATAAGAAAAAAATCAAAGTTTAAGGAGGAGATAATTCTGGAAATATGGATTCTAGATTTATAAACCTTGTCATATTATTATGATGTTAGAGTTTGAAGTAAATCCTATAAGAAATGAATAGGTGGAGTAAAAAATACCAATTTCTCGAAAATAATCTAAGTCCAAGGGGGATATAACTCTGGAAATAATCTTGCTACAGTATTAAACCTTCTCACAAATGTTGAGTGATAATAACAAACATATATATGAAGTTTGAAGTAAAAATTAAGAAATAAAGAAGTTATTAAAAAAAAAAACACACAAAAAACAACATTTTTTCCATATAATACATAATACAAAAACAACGACGACGAAGACGACAGCAACATCAACAATTAGTAATAACAGGAAAGTTCCCATTTTTTACTTGATCTAAAGAAAATGTTTTTCATCTTTAAATGCCAGTGCAGTGCATTAGCTTGGTAAATTCATGGCGATCGCTTAGGGTCATACTGTGTTTATAGAAAACTTAAAATTTTCAGAGAGACATTTTTGATGAATCAGTAATGACTCGTTTAATTGTAATTAATTCATTATTATGTTGAACAATGTTTAAGACTTAGAACGTAATTAGATAAAACACAAATGCAATACTGAAATTACAATAAATAAATGAATAAATAAATAAATGAATAAATAAATAAATAAATATATATATATATATATATATATATATATATATATATATATATATATATATTATATATAATATATATATATATATATATATATATATATATATATAAATAAATAAATAAATAAATAAATAAATAGATAAATAAAATATTTAGAGTTATTTTATGAATATAAATAAATAGGCTTAAATTACAATATACATGTGTTTGTCTAACACACAGTTTTTAAGACTTTAACCACAACATCCTATAAACGCCTGCTCTTTTTCTGCTTGTTACATTCCGTAATAATATGTTAATTAATTCTTCTTCTTGTTGATTAATTTATAATTAAACAGATAAAAAATTGAAAATAAGTAGATAAACTTTACTCACAACAATTATAAAGAGACAAATAAGGTTTAAATCAGAGCACTGAAAACACTTGAAACCTGCGACGCATTCAAAATTGAAATAACATCATCTTTTAGTCAATTTCTGTTGCAACGATAGTTAGTTTATACGTAAAAACCGGTGTTCCGACAACAGTGTACTATAAAAAAAACCATCAATTTGAAATACTCTTTACAGTTAAAATGTGTTCACAGTAAACTAGAATAGTTGAAAGCATTATCTATCTAAGCACTATATAATTTTTAATTGTAACATGCCACTTAAGTCTATTACACCGACAATAAATAGACTGAAATTCAAGGTTATTTCTAAAGTATTTTATTATTTATACGCATGCGATTCACCTTTCAAGAACCGTTGGTTGATGGAAAACAAATTTTGAAATGTTCACCGGTTAGAAGACCTTTTACTAAAACAACAGTGCTTTAGGATACGCTTGTTAAAAGTTATCCAGTTATTTAGTTCCACAAAACTGTCGCTTTTCTCTTGCTGCTAAAAGACCTTTCATTATCATTCCTAGATGTTTGATCCTCTCAGTTTTATCCTCTGGTTTATAGGATATAAACGGTACAGCTTTAATTCTCAGTAATCCTGTAAGCTAAAATAGAGAAATGCATCAATTACATAAAATGTAAATCATTGGTAGTTTATGATACATATGAGCCGCGCCATGACAAAACCAACATAATGCGTTTGCGACCAGCATGGATCCAGACCAGCCTGCGCATCCGTGCAGTCTGATCAGGATCCATGCCGTTCGCTTGCAAACCCTATTACAAGTAGAGAAACTGATAGCTAGTCGCATTATGCTACTTTTGTCATGGCGCGGCTCATTATTGTACGTGTCATATAACTGTTATTCCAAGGCCGCAAACCCTTTGGAACTACCTGTTTATGATGGAAGAAAACAAGCTGTAGAGTATCTGTTTAGACTTGGTAGAATTGCTAGGTTTCATAATGGTTGCGTAAATTTGTATGACCAAAGCGTTTATTAACAGGGCAGAATGTTAAATAAGGCACAAGTACGGATAGTCTAGGATTTTTACTGTTAAATAGTTATCACTAACACCATAATTATACCTTCCATGAAAATGATGTTAGGCGCAGAAATAACAATAGTGGCAATCTAGTAGTATCTATTATTTTATACGACAAGGTGTGAACAGGTGCTCGTAATGGTCGTATGTTTCAAAGTGGTTCAGAAAATCGATACATAAATCGGAATATTGTGCTTATAAAATCATTTCTATTGGATTACATATGTCCTAGAGTCTTTGACTTCTGATGGCAAAACATAAACGGAAAAAGCGCAGCAACGGCAGTGACTCGGACTCGAGACAAATTCGGATGTAAAAAAGTAGTGGTGGTTCGGATTCACTGATGCTTAGTGAAATTCTTAAAAAAACAAACGGGATGTTATATGAAAAGGATCTAAGTTTATCAGAGTCTACTACAAGTGCCGATGAAAGCAGTGTATTTAATCAACAAACATCAACGCCTATAATAAAGACAAATAGCCAAAATCAGACCAAAATTATGGCGGGAATTGATTCTCCAGGTAAAGTTGTTACAACGAACGAAAAGCAGCAGATAACATTTTGGGTACAGGCTGTTACTAAAATTAAATTAGGACAAGATAGCATGAAAAAGAATGTTCGAATCTAAATTACATAAAATGAGAAGCAAACTAATTGCAGATATTGACTCAAAAGTTTGAGCATTGAAAAATGTACTGAGTTTTGACATTGGAAGGAAAACCTGACGTATTGATGACGTGTTGACCAATGTTCACGCGATAAGTGATGGTTAAATTAATGTAGAAAAATCAACTTTCTAAGGTAATAACGTCTCGGCCATTAACACAGATCAAAGATCAATAATTGAGCCGCGTCATGACAAAACCAACATAATGGGTTTGCGACCGGCATGGATCCAGACCAGCCTGCGCATCCGCGCAGTCTGATCAGGATCCATGGTTTCTCTACTTGTAATAGAGTTGGTAAGCGAACAGCATGGATCCTGAGCAGATTGCGCGGATGCGCAGGCTGGTCTGGATCCATGCTGGTCGCAAACGCATTACGTTGGTTTTGTCATGACACGGCTCATATTCTGTATGCGGGATAATCCGCTTGACACTCCGAACCGTCACGGCTAGGGCATACATGTTACCCGATCAGAGGACTTGATTAACGAGGCACACAACGCCCTTGGTAAAGAGATTAGCTCAATTGTTCGATTATCAGCCGCTGTTCGTCTTCCCGCGAAAATGTATGATCACCCGCCAATACTGTAATTTAGTGTACAGTCTCTTGAGCAAAAGCAAAAAGTGATTTTACTTAGGAACAAACTAAAGCTTAGATTCATAGACTGTTATAAACACACCCAGATACAAAGCAGCAAATCATGAATTAAACGTCTGATTGAAATAAATGCTCGAGATGTTATTTAAAACCTCCCACAAGGGCGCTCACTGCGCGTAGACGCCAGACGTCGAATTACTACTAGAAGGCAACCCAAAACATAGACAGCAGATCTTAGATTTATCGAACCCGTGTGTCACGTGATCAACAATCCGGAAGTCATATAAAAAGTGCTGATGTCCCGCCAATGACCAATCAATAGGACTTTTCCCAGCCAGATACTCTTAAGTCTAGTACATTTAAACCTTGCGGAATGACTGAAGACAATAATGACTTATGCACTTGTATAAGCTTGAATTGTGATATAATCATTCCGGGTAAAATTAGCAATCAAAAAAGATTTAAAGTGCGCCCGATTCCGGACAATTTTATGATTTATGGACATTGGCCGTTTATCTTTAACAGATAGCATGAACATATTTGAAACATGTCGCAAGATACAGAGTGTGTTATGAACGTTTTATACAGTAATTTGTGCATTGCAATTACCGAGAAAATGGACAGACACGATCGAAAAACGACTCAAAAACTACAAAAAGCGGCCCAAGAGTAAGAAAGCCGAATTGGAATGACGTATTGACTGATCTCTTGAAAACACTTCGACAAAAAGAACGTGCTTTTCTAAAAATTTTCCGGGAGTCATACCGTAAAAACAGCTTTGCGTCATGAATACATAGTTGCACGTGACTTATTCGACAATACTTTACGCAAGACAGAGCGGGCCTATAGGCGGTCAAAAGCCGACGATATAGAAACGCTATACACCAATAATCCAAGAGAGTTCTTGGACCAAATAGACAAATTAGGCCCGAGAAATGACCTGTGAGATCATATATGATAACAGTGATGTTATTCGAAATGAAGGCGAAGAAATGGAAAAGTGGCGACGCAATTTTGAACTAGAAATGTGTCATCATGCCACGGATGCCCCCCCGCATGCAGCCAAAATTTCAGATGGTGCATTAATTATTTTTTTCATTTTAAGTTCAAAGCCCTTAAAACTTTTCAATGTTAACACAAACCATTTTCATACAATGTTCAAGGCACTGAAATTATTCAGTCTTAACCCTTTAAAAATAGCATATTGCATATTTGTAGCCAAAATAATGGCTAAAAGTATGAGTGCTGAAACTGAAAGTTCAAAATGTTTCCAACATTCAGGAAAGATTAGTTTGTCTAAAATCATTGAACCACGACCAAATTCAAACTTAAACTGCTTATTCCTAAGATGTATCTATATTATTTTCAAAGTGAAAGGGACATAACTCTGCCAAAAAATCATCAAACCATGACCAAATTCCAACTTGACCTGCCCATTCCTTTGACATATCCATATGTCAAATTTAAGTTGAATATGTGACACTGTTGGGTAGATAATGAACAGAAACTGTAAATTTCATATTATTTTCAAAGTGAAAGGGGCATTACTCTGCCAAAAATCATTGAAGCATGATCAAATTCGAACTTGGCCTTCCAAAAACATATCCATATGTAAAATTTGAGTTGAATGTGTTGTACCATTGGGGAGATAATAAACGGAAACTGAAAATTCCATATTACTTTCAAAGTGAAAGGGGCATAACTGTGCCAAAAATCATTGAAGCATGACCAAATTCGAACTTGGCCTGGGCATTCCAAAAATATATCCATATGCCAAGTTTGAGTTGAATGTGTTGTACCTTTGGATAGATAATGAACGGAAACTGAAAATTTCATATTGTTTTCAAAGTAAAAGGGGCATAACTCTGCCAAAAATCATCGAACCATGACCAAATTCAAACTTGACCTGTATTTCTTTCATGACATATCCATATGTCAAGTTTGAGTTGAATGTGTTGTACCTTTGGGGAGATAATGAACGGAAACTGAAAATTTCATATTATTTTCAAAGTAAAAGGGGCATAACTCTGCCAAAAATCATCGAACCATGACAAAATTCGAACTTGACCTGTATTTTCTCATGACATATCCATATGTCAAATTTGAGTTGAATGTGTGCAACCGTTCTTAAGATAATGAACGGAAACTGATGATGACGGAATGACAGAATGACGGAAGGACGGAATGACGGAACAGGGTAACACTATATGCCCCGGCCATTACATGGCGGGGGCATAAAAACTGTCTGTATAACGGCAAAGATTGCACAGAATTTGATAACTCAAAAGGCACATTCACAGTTACTTGAAAAAAACATGGCGGACCAACTTTATTCACCTAACATTTTGCTCAATAAACATATATCATTAGATGAAATAAGCTGTGTAATTATAACAGCAAACTTGAAATCAACGAGCGATATCACGATATGTGTTTTTTTTTTTTAAAAAATCACATGTCACTGAAATGAAAAAATAGTTACTAACTAACTAACTTACCTACCTACCTACCTACCTACCTACCCACCTTCTTACTTACTTAATATCTGTTCAGTTTGGAGCAAGCTGGAATTATTGCAACATGAATATGTTATAAAAATTCATACAAACCTATAACTTATCAATAATACATACAAAAATCTAAGGGCTATACTATTATCATAAAAATGAAAGAAACATGTACATGAAAACAAAATGAATAAAAGAAAATTTGTCTTAGATTACCTGTTTACTTCTGACACCAACAAACAAAGAGCCTTTGTCCAATAGACTTATATCTAGAGAGCAACTTTGTAATCCTTCTAATGTATGTGCCAGTGCCTTACAAATAGATAAGATAGACACGGCTGGTATATCTACTTCGTCGGGAATCATAGTGATGTCTTCATAGTCATGGCGACGTATCGACCTTGTTAAACAACGGCTGGCATTTAAACATCTGATTGTGTTCTCTCCTAATTCTAAATGACAAAATAAATTGTACGCTCATTATCAGTGAGATTTAATTGCAACATTGTAACTTGTTTCTGAAATCGAATGAATGATTTTTTTTCTAATTTGTATTTGGTGATATAGTTATTTGAAAGAAAATATCACATCTGAGAGGTAAACTTGATATCAGTGATTTATTAGAAAACTCCTAATTTCCCAAAAGACATAAAATAGGGAAACAAACATAGACCACCTAAAATGGCAAAATTAAAAAAGAATTATTCAACATTTATATATATAAGATAATTTTGAAATTCAGAATTTAGAAAATTTGCAGATGTTTAGTTTAAACATATTTATTCCCGAAAGTATATATAATGTTCATACAAATATATAACAAACAAAACATTTTTACACAATGGAAAAGGATGAGAATGAAAGACAAGTCTTATAGAATTCTTCTCCTTTGGCGAACTATATGGTTTGTCTTAAATAAGTTTATAGTTAGTATAATTATACTAGACAAGGAAATAAGTATTAATTATACACACACAAAATATATATTTATATATAAACTTATATAGAATAGATTAACTACAAGTAGATGTCTAAAATGTAAGAATATATATAAAAGAAGATAACAAAATAGTGGGAAAGAGAAGAAAGAGGGTGAGAGAGGATTATAGTCTCAATAAGAAAGGATCTAAGTAAATCTTTTCGTTTTTTCTATATAATTTTGTACATTTGTATATATAATAACGTTGTCCTTGTATGTAAGAGATGGGTCACCATAGAGAAGTTTATGAAGCTTTATGCTGAAGTCTTGCAGGTTAAGGAGGAGTGTTCTGTGGACGGCGTCGTATGCACAGCACTCGAAAAAGAAATGTTGGGTAGTTTCAATTTGCCCACAATATACAAAGGGGTAAGAGAAATGTTTTTAAAAACAGGTGGTGATTTAATGCGCTGCAGTTCGTTCGAAGCCGAGTGTGAAGAGCCTGCAGTTTACGACTACCTGTATAAAAGTATTTTGGTGTATATTTTCTGTCCTTGTTTAAGAAAGTTTTAAATGAAGATATTGTAGGGCAGTTTCGTATTATAACAGGCAAGTTGTTCCAATCACGAATAACTGATGGCAAGAAAAAATTGTTGTACAGAGTAGTCATTGATGTAATTCCTCTGATATCTTCAGAGTTTCGTAAGCTGTATCGGGATTGATCTGGATTTGGTATTAATGATGAGAGATAATCTGGAGTTTTGTTCGACTGCATAGTGTAAAACATAACTAGTTTGTGTTTATATCTTCTTTCGGATAACGATTCCCAATTAATTTCTTTCTGCAGAGTTTCTAGTGAGATAAGCTTGGTTGCACCTGCAGTTGCAATGCGTGCACATTAATTTTGAATCTTATCAAGCTGTTCGAGTTCATATTGGGTACAATTACACCAAATTACATCACCGTATTCCAAAATAGGTCTAATGAATGCTATATAGATAATTTCCAAAGATTTACGATCCAGAGAGAATTTCAGTTTACGCATTATATTAACCCTTTTCCAAGCTATATCAGTTATGTATTCAATATGCTTGTGCCATGTGCAGTCAGGAGAAAGAAAGATGCCTAAATGTTTGTGTTCAGAAACTTCTGGAATTTGTTGGTTGAACATATGCAATGAAGGGTGATGCTGACGAATTCGCTTTCTGGTTACAAGTAGGGATTCCGATTTTGAAGAATTGAAGGTGACTAACCACCTTTCTGCCCATCAAGAGATTTTTTGGATGTCAGACTGAAGAAGTGTGGCTGCTGTGTTAGGATGTTAAACTATAACATAAAGACTGGTATCATCAGCAAAGAGGTTTATGAAAGATTCGATTTCATTAACAATATCATTTATAAAGATCAAAAATAATAGGGGACCAAGTATAGACCCTTTGTTTTCTATCAGTAAGGTAGCTATTGAACAAAGATAACAAAGATCCAGATATACCTGCGTGCTTTAGTTTCGAAAGGAGGCCTTTATGCCAAACCTTGTCAAACGCTTTACTGATATCAAAGAAAACCACACGAACTTCAAGGCCATTGTCAAGTGATATACAAAGCGTATCATAAATGAAGGCCAGCTGATTAACTGTAGAATCACCAGGGATAAAACCAGACTGAGCAGTAGACAGAAAATTATTTTTTTTTTACTTTGAGAAAGTTAAAGATGTGTTTAAATACAAGTCGCTCAAATACATTTTCTGTAGTGTCCAAAAGTGATATGGATCTGTAGTTATTTAGGAGAGATGTGTCGCCCTTTTTGTGAACTGCAGTGACATTTGTCTCTTTCCATGTGATTGGAACTTCACAACATCGTAGAGAAGCATTGAATAAGTCACACAAGGGGAAAGATAGTTCATGAGAAGCCTCGCATAAAATTTTATTACTTATACCATCTGGACCTACTGCTTTGTCAACTTGTAACGAAAGAAGAACATTTTTTTACTTCATGAGGGCTAAGCACAATATCGTTGAGACAGGAATGTGGTGAACTAAGGTAAGGTGGATCTCTGTTCTCATCGTTAATAGACATTTGTCCTACGAAGAAGTTATTCAGAAGATTTGCCTTATCGTTATTTGAGTAAACAATATTTCTGTTTAAGGGATCTGTCAGTGGTGGAATGCTACTATCATTTGTTGATGAAATAAAAGATTTCAGAGTCTTCCACCAGTCTTTAGACGAAAGTGATTTTTCAGTTTATTTGAGAGTTTACAAAAATAGTTTGACTTGGCTTCCCGTATCAATAATATTGTTTCATTACGAATGGATTTGAATCTTTGCCAGTAATATTGTGAATTTGTCATTCTAGCTTTTTTATACAGACGTTTTCGTTTACGGATATTAACTCTGATTGAATTAGTAATCCATGGAACATCTAAAGGTCTTACTTTAATCAATTTGTTAGGGATGTTATTTTTAGCATTTGTTTGTATCTGATTGGTTACGTTATTTGCATATATGTTAACATCTGCATCAAAGCAGTTTTCCCATGTAAAGGTATTTATATCTCCACGTAATGCTTCGTAGTCAGCATGTTCATATTCCCAAACAATGCGGTCAAAACACATTTGTCGCGGTTTACGGAATTTCAGAAAACCAAATATAGGAACGTGATACCTTAGTTCTTGTTTTAGAAAGTGATCACCAACACCAGAATGAATAACATTGTTTTTGTTTGAAACTAATAAAAGGTCGATCAAAGAATTTGAATGTTCAGTATAATGTGTTGGTTCATCAATTAGTTGTTCTAGTTTGAATTGTTGAGTGATGGATGTAATTTTGCGGTTTGATGAATAACAGTTTACAGTTAGATTGAAATCACCCGTAATGATGATGTCAGGTATATTAGTGTCAATGGCTAGACCAACAGAATCTTCAATAAGATTGTTGTATATGACATCTGAGTTAAGCGGGCGATAGAAGATACTAAATAGAATATGACGATTGTTACAAAGGATCAACTCGATCCAAATACATTCTATCCTGTTTAATTCTAGATCTGTTGTACGTTTGTAGTGTATATTGTCTTTAATGTACAAAGTAACACCACCATGAGCATCCCCAATGCGATTTTTGCGTTCAGGGGAATGGTACGAGGAAAGTAGTAAGTCTTCAGTTGATACAGAACTTTTGAGCCAAGTTTCAGAGAAAGCAAGAATATCAAAATCGCAGAGTTCCGAAAAAAGGATATTGAGTTTATGTTCAATACTCTGAACATTTAAATGTACGAAAGAAAGATGATTTTTTGAATATGATAAATTTCCGAAGGAGTAGAGGTCATGGATGAAATTGAAGAAGTAGGTGAGATTGGACCAGGATTCAGATGAATGTCTCCAGATACATGTAAGATTACTACTAGCCAGGAATAGTACACCAATACAAATACCAAAGTTAAAGTATTACTGGTAAATTGTATGTTATTATAAACTCTAGTGGTGAATTTCATTACCTTTTTTGAAGAGAATCTGACGAGAAACAGTTTATTTGAGGATAGCCAATAATGCATTGAAAGCACAAACAATGGGATACTACAGATAAATACCAAAAGCAAAATATGAAAAGTGATTGGAAAATGAAGTGACCTATATATTTTGTATGATTTAATGAAGGCTTCGCAAGTGTTTCGTTTCATATAAGACTTATGAGATAGCTGTTATAGCGAGTAAGAACTTTTGCAAAGCCAACATTGACAACTTGTGTGTACAAGGGACAGAAAAGCATACGTATGCAGAGTGATGGACAACTAAAAATGAATGTGGATATGAGACTGATAATAAACATAGAGTTAGGAAAAAAAAAGAAATAGCTAGTATCATTAGTAAGTAATTAGTAGGAGAGATTTTAAGGGACATTTAAGAAGTAGATAGGAAGCTATTTGTTGTTGGAAGCGGAAGTTCGATAGGACAAGTCTTTAAAATATTGTGCTGGATAGATTTAGGTAAGTATGAATGTATTCTTTTTTTATCTAAACCGAGGATTGGGTGAGGTAAGTTTGATGAGATAAGTGTGTAAGTTTATTAGGATGGTCTATTCTAGGTAAGTATAAAATTAGGTTGAAGCTCATTCAGAATAAGGTCCGTTGAAGTATGTATGCAAGACAAAAATGATAATAGACTATTATTTAATCAAGTTTATCTTAGTCTAAAATGATAATCTAATGAGGTGAGTATATAAGTTTGTCATTATTTGGGTATGTCTGTAGTTATGTTGATCGTATATAATAAGTTATATCAAATATATTGTAAAATATTGAGCTGGATAGATATAGGAAAGTATGAAGGTATTTTTTGCGACGGACGCGCCCTCAGGCGCGTTCAGAGCTAAGTCATCTACACATGGGATTTCGTTGGCTACACTCGCGCAATGTGTCTTAAACCAATTAACAGCCCAAGAAATAGTACATGAATTTGATCCTTCAAAACTCCCATACTTTGTCTGGATATCTTAATGTCTTCCATATTTAGCCTTTTCAATTTCAAATTAAGCTATCCAAGTTAAAATATGAACGTATATTATTGATAAAAACGTTGTAGTCCCGTAGTATTATTGCGCAATATGCAAATTACTGCTGAAACGATTTACCGCTGTCGAAAAAGTAGGACAGCAAATTATACTTCAATAAAGGTGTAACCTCTGAGTTCCAAGACATTATTAGTAGGAAATAAATATTTCTACATTATACAAAACATTATTATTAACAAATCAAAAGTTTTTCGTGACTCTAGGATAACTCGCGCATTAATAAAAAGAAGAACTATTTTCGTGACTCATACGCGGGTTTAGCTGAATATTCAGCAGTTATTAATATATTAGATACAGTACAATGGCTAGTATAAATATCTATTTTTGAAAATGCATGTAAGACACTTTACCGCCATGTAGTCTTTCATGGTAAGGAAGTTATAATATCAGTTCTACTTCCGATTCTTGTGGTTTGTTTACATATTTTACTAGGTCATGATATGAGTTAACCTTCGCTATTCTAAAAATAGATTCTGCTTAACCTGTACTGATTTTTGGACAGGTTAATAAACCAGCGGATTGTAATGCAATACTTTTAGAAATGCTATACAATTGTAAGAAGCAAACAAGTTGAAAATGGAATTTAGTGTGAAGTTGAAAAGGACAACTAAACACTGTAGTGCTTAAGTGACATTTAAATTAAAATAAAAACGATGTGCTCTGGCCTCTACATCTTTACCTTGTAAATAAAAAAAATCTAAGAAATACACTATTAATTGCTGATGATTTTAACCAATTTTTTTTTTAATGAGACATATCCAAGAGAAATAAAAATACAAATGACTTATATTTTATTGTCTGTATGCCCACTATGATATAACACGAAGCAATTCTAAATAGCATTCTCAAATGTATAATGTATTATGTTTGAAGTTTATTTGCCTGGATTTATTCTAGAAATATTTCGTTGATAGTTTTTTTCTATTTACATAACATTTCTTAGAATAAATCGATAAGGACACTGATTTACAAGTTTGACCAGAGTTTTTAGGCATACATTTCATTCTGTATTTAAGTGCTTGAAAGTAGAAAATCTGAATTATATCAATTTGGGACACAAAATATATTGCTCTACAAATCTCGAACTTGTATGGAACAAATTTTCTCTGTTATATATTTTGTGTTTTGTTTTTGTTTTGTTTTTTTTTCTAAAAGAAGCCTTAATTAATGTCTCTCCGGTTGAATGTCCGTCGCATTCAGTGCTGCAGCACTTTGATTTATTTTGATCTAAAATGACGATCGGATGAGGTAAGTTTGATGAGATAAGTGTGTAAGTTTATTAGGATGGTCTATACGAATTAAGTAAAGAAATTGGTTAAAGCTGATTCAGAATAAGGTCCGTTGAAGTATGTATGCTAGACAAAAATGATATTAAACTATTATTTAATCAAGTTTATCTTAGTCTCTAATGATAATCTAATGAGGTGAGTATATAACTTTGTCGTTATTTGGTTATGTCTGTAGTTATGTTGATCGTATATAATAAGTTATATCAAATATATTGAGGTAGTTTTTATAAGAAATTTTGATTCATAAAAACGATAATAAATACTTTTGTTATTCAGATGAGGTAAATAATACCGTCAAAGGAAAATAAAAAAAAACGTAAATGATAAATTCCAATAAACAATAGTATAGATAAAAGAATTAGGAAAATAAGTTCACAAAATGTACAAGACGCATATCAAGTACTTATCAAAAAAGGTGAGAACACTCATACTATCCTACTTGCGAATAAAATATCGAAATCATTATAAATACAAAGAAAAATCAATACGCTTGAGCATCATCGGATGCCTATCCAAACATGGCTCGTATACAATTAAGTAACGAATAAAGAAAACAAATGTTAAAAATATAACGAGTAAAGAAAAAAATGTTTTTAAAATAATCACATCAAAGGGAAAATATAGTTAACGAATGTAGAAAATATTTGCGATGCTAGTTCATACAAATGATTACAAAAATATTAATCACAAGTACGTTAAAAGAACGAAAAGAAATATGTTACAAAATAACAGAGTTTAAAATATTTAGTTTTTGTGCATCAAGTAACACTTAGTTTAAGCGACTATCGGTAGATTTCATTTAGCACGAAAAAGACAAGATTTTATGTTCCTCTGACCTGTGTCGTCTGCAATCGATGTAAATTAACATAAAGAAATACAACCCGTAGATTACCAGACATACAGGTATGTTTGTTTACTTATCTTTAACTAGTGTTGTGAATAGGATTTATACATATCATACAACTATAATAAACAAAAATATATACAAAATATTTAGTAGCACGATAATAATACAAATCAAGAAACTAGGCTGTTAATTATGAAGAAAACGAGAAAAGAATACCTTACTATAGGTTAAGTGTGATTTGTTTGAAATTAATGTAGTTACGTACTTTATAAATTCAATGCATCAAAATGTTTTAAGGTAAGTTCGAAACAGCAATTTGGAATACATCAAGTAATTTTTGTAAATTTTACTTTTTATTCAAAACAAGTGAGCTAGTTGACTTAAACAATGGATGATTTTAGACTAGAAATATCCAAAAGCTAAATTATATTTAATTTTTTGTTTACAAGAGTTATGCACATAAAGAGACTTAAGAGAGAAAAATGTACAATTATGTAGTCAAAAAATAAAATAAAATACATGTAGATAGGATATATTTTAGGCAATATTACCAGTATATGTAATATAGCTTTAATCAGCATAATTGGTAGCCACTCCACTACATAAAATACCTGTGATTTCACGAGAAATAAGTGCAAGGTAAGGAAAAATGTAAATGTAGCGTTATAAAGATGTTTTCATACGGTGGAGACAATGAACCTTCAATGTGACCCTTTTGTGCCATTTCATGAAAAGTGGCGTATGGTCCTCAAGTAAAGGAATGCTTATTTTTCTTAAATGTAAAAATGAAAGGCAATAGAAAATGAAAATTTTTGTCCATACATTTTAACCGATGTCGGATTAAAAGGCTTTTCACATGTTATCGATCACGTACGAGTCAATGTAAAACGATCCACCTTTATCATATGTAACACAACTGATGCCCTGATTAAAAGTAAAACTATTCTAGAAAGGAAAACAACAAACCTTGTGTCATTTGTTTCAATGACTGTTCATCAGTACTGGGACTGAATTTCTGAAAATATAACAAACATAATAGTTTGCAGATATGGAAGTTACTTAACGATCAATCCATTCGCTGAAATATATTGCAATCGGTTGAACAGAGTAACTGCAAATCTGTCACTCATTCAGGATTTTTACTAGAGAATTGCAAACCTAAACACAAATTTGAAAGCACTCTGATTTGTGTCTTATTTTCGCTCCACATGACCCCATACGAAAACACGACATTCGTATTTCTAGTCTGGCGCCCTGCAGAGCAAGAGTACGACAAATTGATCACATTTGTCGTAATTTCGTGTTTTCCCTGGCATCCCGCAGAGCAAAAGTGCAAGAAAGTGATCACTGTCTTTTTTTTTTTCGCTTGGAGCCTCGCGGAACGAAGGACAGAATCACAATAATATGCGACAGTGGTCACTTTCACTTGCTTCTGAAATATGGTCTGGCGCACCGCGGAGTGAAAGGCTAAAAAAGTGATAACTTTGTCGTTTTATTTAATGTTTTTCGCAGAGTTTTATTTGACATTTTAAGTAAATGAATAAAAAGCTTACGTTTGAAGCATATTTTTTGGTTGCAAGTTGAAACAGGAAAAGTTGTCCGTTAGCAAGTAACAATGGCATAAAATAAATCCTCTGTACTTATATACATAATATAACAACTGGCAGCCAAGCTGAAATGTTGGATTGAAACTTTTTGAGTTTACAGACCTTACATTTGCTGGAAAGAAATTCATAGTAAATAACTCACCGTTCCTCCAATGATGGCACTTAATGTATATAGAATAGGATTAAGAGCCGAGTTGACTGGTAGAATAAAAACAGCTGCCCATGCATATACCTCTCCAGATATCACGTGACCATACAGCGCAAACATTGCTAGAATTAAAGATACAATAATTATTAATTTAATAGTACATTTCTTACTTTCCCTGCTATGATTGCACTAAAATAGAATTGAGAGCCGAGTTGACTGGTTGGTAGTATAACAAGAACGGCGCTCGACATTGAGTATAATAATGATTACCTATATTGAATACAAAAAAATTGTCCCAAAAAGGTTCAAAGCCTTGTTATTAAGATGTTATATCGAGTAAATCACTGACTGATATTATGAATGCATAAAATTGTCACAAAAAGGCACAAACCCTTCAGTAGTTATGGAAACACCAGCTTACACGCAAAAACTTAACGAAGTCAGAGTTATTGGACATTTGCCAATCATGTTAGATAATTACACAGAACAAGTGCTTGAAGTTTCAATCTATTCCCTTCAGTAGTTATGGAGATACCAGCTTACACGTTAAAACTTAACTACAGAGGCGCCGACACCGACACGACGCCGACTAATTTTCGGCCAGCTCTATCATTTATGTGTAATTTATCAATTAAAATAACTTCTTACCCATGACTCCTATAGGAAACCAGCACATAAAATCAGTTGCTACAACTAGCAGAAGATTCCTTGCAACTTTAAGGTCCCTTTTTCTTGAACTTTCTACAGTGGTGGCGATTCCAGAATAATTGCGAATTTCAATGAAAATCGAGAGCTGCCCAACTGCGACTAAGATAAATGTAAGAAAATTCAGGCAAACAAAGACAGATAAGGAATATACCCAGCCAGGTGGACGATCTCTTGTTAACGGTAAAGCAATGCAAACACCAGACTTTGAGTAGAATTCGTTTTTAAAATATCCTTCATAAGCAAGAGGAAATATGGCTGCAGTAACGGAAAATACCCACGTGAAAATGGCACAACTGACAGCTTCTGTCTTTGGTCAATTTTAGCTCGTCCAAATGGAAATTTTATTACCAGAAGCCTATCCAATGTAATGAGACAAAGAAATAAAACGCTCGCTTCTGAAGAAGTGGTGGACAGCATTCCCCGCGAGGTTACACCATATACTGTGCCTCCAGTAGTCGTCCATAAATATGTATCTTTAAAAGAATATGTTCAATTTGCATCACAAATGACTACATAATTTGTATAAGTTTCAATTGTACTATAACTTACAAAAAATGTTGAGCACACCCTAATACTTGATTTAATGTTCATGAGGACGCACGACTATAATGTAAATACAAAGTACTATTCAACAGAAAAGACAATGAATCAAAACTTTTGGTGCGAGACTCTTTTGTCCCGATATAAAACTTTTCACGACTAGGGGAGAAACTATGTAAACCACCTGAAAGCTGGGTCGATATAGCTGCAAAACGATTCCCGACGCCACTGGTTCGAATCCCAATCAGTCTGCGCATAGTTTTCTTCCTCAGACATTTTACCTAATAATATTCATTTTAATTTATTATATATTTCGTTGCATTGATTCATATCGGCCCATATTGAATCAGGCAGAGGCATCACATAAGTATAATCATTAATGTTAATATCTTTATTACAATTCGGCCTTTTAAAGTCACCTATATATAGTATATAATATCTTAAGTGTTACTTTTCTGTTTCAGGAATATCACGTGACTTACCTTTTCCGAAATGCAGAATCGGCAGCAGCTATAATGATGAGAATATATAGCCATTAGAAAAATCGGCAACTGCCAAGTTTGTAACAAATATGCCAAAACCAATTTCAAACCTTTCTCTATCATATTTCAGCCTGTAGAAAACCGTCAGAATATTTCCAAGAAACGCAGTGATTCCTATTAACCATATCAAAAACTGTAGCACAGAATGTCTCATAAGGTCATCACAAGATGAAAACTCGTCTTTTGGAGGATAACAGTTTTCTTCTTTAACATAATTAGGTCGTATACAACAGAATTTGAACTCCGGAGTAATCAGGTTTTCTAAACCAATGAGTCCAGTAAATATTTCTGTATTAAATGATTTAATACTATTTTCTTTGAAACTGATAGAGCGTATAGATGCGCCGCGGAAAGCAAAACTTGCCAATCCATGTAGCTTGTTGTTAGATAAGTCTAATTTGTGTAGACTCATTCCTGAAAATGTGTCTGCCAAAACTGTTTCCAGTCTAGCATTGGCTAAGTCCAGTTCTCGAACATGGACCAGTCCAACAAAGGCATACATTTCTATAACTGATAGCTGATAGTTACCTCGTAGATTAAGGACTTGTAGCTGCTCTAAGCTGATAAACACAAAATCTGGTAAAATTGTTAATAAGTTGTAACTTAGATCTAAATGGCGGATATTCTTCATTCTTTCAAACGAATATGAATTTATACGCTGTATTCCACAGAACGAAAGATTAAAGACGATTAAAGTTTGCAAATGTAAATAAGATTCCTCCAAGATAGAACTGAGTCCAATGTTAGAACTTAAATCAAGATACCGGACTGTATCTGGTATTGTTGGTAATAAAGATAACTGAAAGTCAGTGTTGCTGCAATCAGCAACATACCCCTGGCATGTGCAATTATCTGGACATCTAAAGTCACAAATTGCTTCATCGTCACCATGGATACAATGAACGATCCCGTCACAGACTTGATCTATCAATAAACAAGCATGACTCCAAGCACATTTGTAACCATAGGGGCAGTGAACCTTTGTTGTTACTGAAAATAAAAATTGTTGCTGTGAGTGTCAAAAGTCTACCATACAAACGAAACAAACTAATAAATACATATATGCACATTGAACTAACCCACACTTTGTGTCATGACAGTACATCTTCATACACACAGTTAGGGTAAATGATTTTTGGTTGGAACGTTTAGAAAATTGCTTTATCATTCAGAGTTTATACAGATCATATACTTAAAATAACTATAGTCTTGGGCCTGATCATCCGATATGACACATCAATGTATGGCAGTTAATAAAATGTTCCAGAACAGAATATTATTATTCATCACATATATGTTCATATTAATTCATTTAAGAACTCTATCAACTTTTTTATTTTCGAAAAATATTTTTCATCAAAAAAGCTTAGTGCTTAGATACGTTGAAGTAAATTGTTTGTTTTCTGTTAAAGTCAAACTTAGTCAATAAAAAGATTTTTTTTTCAAACATGCATTATGGTTTGTTCAATTTCACTATCTATAACAATGTAAACCTTACTATTGCATAGGTCGCTGAAATATTCTGCACCAATTCCATTTAGACTCTGCCATCTTCTAACATAAAATTCTAAAACATTTTCCGAACTTGAAGTCTTTGAATAACTTGACACATTAAAATTCTCGATCACCCTGTAAACTTTTGCGTTTTGTTCCAAAATAAACTTTGTTTCTACGATTTCCTTAATTGACTTCTTCTGCAACCCCTCTCGTTTGAATTAAAATAACACCTTTCAGATGATCGTTTGTAAAATGAACTGACTCTAGAAGATGTTTTGCCATGGTTTTATAGCGACAACTGAACGAATTTTCAGTATCTTGTGCTCTACTTATTTCCTTATCAAGAACGTCTAGCAACAAATTATTGTTTCCATAAGCACTGAATGGTTTTGTTGCCTTAAAGCTTAATACACGAACAATATTTGTTGGAGTGAAAAATTGCTGTGCAAACCGAAATATATCTGGCCCATCAGTAGTTTCCTCGTCGTGAATAATAAGAATTTCATTTTTTGATGGGGCACATCCTGCAATTTTACAATAAACCGAAAAAGAAAAAAATAAACAATTAAGATCCGCCACAAAAAAAAAACGAGAGTAAAAAAATGTACGACAGCTGCAAATGTTTAAACGTAGATGTCATTAATTCAGTTGTTCATCTCTTTGAAGGAATACAACTTAGCATGGTATATTCTAAAGAGGAGAGTAACCATTGTAACAATTTGATTTCTCACTCTCTCCTCCCACTTTCTCTTGCCAGCTACCTTTATATTGCATTTATTTTTCTTGGGAAACAATCTATCAATGATCTTTAAGATTTTAAATTATTTGAGTTATTAGTATGGTTGTATATTACATCTAGTTAATTTATGTTGTTGATATGACTTTTATCTCTGAGCTGCATGCCTCCAGACAAGCCCTTAAAGTATTTCAAAAAATCCAACTTTAGAAAACTGTAGTAACATTTTAAGTAGCTTTAAAGGATTCAAGATTCCAATAATAATGTCCTTGTTATTTTGATGCAATAAGATTCAAGATTCAAATAATAATGTACATGCATTTTGATTTTGCAGTATTCATTACATATTTTTACTGCTTGACTAACGCAGTGGCGGCTATATTTGCATATTTTGACTTCTCTTTGGTCTTACGTAGATTATAATGCCGTTTTGCATTGTGTAAATAACTTTCTTTACTTTTAGATACATTTTCAAATTTTCATTAAAATTAGCATTATTGAAATGCATTCTCCCTAAAATGAATTTGAAATGACTGACCGCAATAGTATTCATCTTCCCCTCCCGGGCAATGTAGAAGTCCATCACATAGAAACCGATGTGGAATGCAAAAGCTGTTAGGGCATTTAGCCATACCCTGTGGACATGTATAGTGCTCTGTAAAACATAGATCGCACAATATTTTTCCATCACAAGAGAGTAAAACGTTTTTACATAATAAACAACAAAAAACAATATCTGATCCAGCACGAGATAATAAATACAGTTAAAAAATATCATAAATATAATGAACTTTCTGAGATAAAGCTTTTTGACATTTGATATATTTTTGTTAGATATTTATAACCAAGATATTTATAATTCTAATCCAATTTTCATATCAAAAATAATATTATTTGATATTTAATCTGTCGTAGAATATTAATCCTAAATATTTTTTGTCACAACAAGCAACACTGATTTTACCTAAAATAGTTCAATATAAATCAATTAACAAAGCCAGGATTTTGCACGTTCGTAGTAACAAAAACTCGACCTTACCAGACCCAGTAGTTAAATAGATGTTGCATAAATAACGATACAAAATATAAGATGAAACATTGTCAAAGTCCTAGCCAATAGAAAAACTGGAAAAAGGGCGATGTAAACAAACATAAGAACTGCGGACTTGGTTTGTCTGAATCTGGCACTCATCAATAATTCTAATGAATGCAGTTTGATATTAATGATGTGACCTGAATCCAGACTGACGTTGGTATAGAAGTTGATTTTTCTCAAGGTATTGCTTTAAATGTGAAATGACATGACGTTCAAGAATAAGTGATATCAAGGGAAGTATGGAAAATGGCCTATAATTTCTTTTATCACTTTTAGAAATTTTGATTCCTTTTTATGTATATGAATGACTTTGGCATTTTCAATAATATTTAGGACATGTATTGTTTAGAATGCTATCATTGAATATAGTGGTAAGTTTGGGAGCAATAATATGGGCCGATAACTTTAGAAACCTTGCACTGAGATCATCTGACGCACATGACTTTGTAATATCAGAAAGAATTACAATACTGAAGTACGAACTACCACATGGCACATTTTATCAACTGTTATGAAGTCACATATATAGATAATGTATACATCGAAATCTCGTTGTGACATGCCTTAATCAGACTATCTTTCAAGTGGAAAAAGATGCTGATAGAACAGTTCTCTCTTACTTGTTTACCTCTAGATTATTAGATATCTCTCATAAGGACATTATTCAAGTATGGAAAACATACAATAAAGGCATTAAATTTGGCTGACTGATATACAGTCTTCACAAGAGACAAAGTTTATAAATATTGAACATTGAAATAATCTGTTCAATTCTTTCTTTCACCTTCTGATAATGATGTGTCTTAACTTTCATTTAGACTTTCTGATAAAAGGAATGTTGTTTCGGAACTATCATTGACTTGTTTTGATTTTGTTTGACCACGTGTTAAAATAACGATGTCCTTCATGAACGTAATTCATCATGCACTTTGCTGAATCGTTATTGGCATACTATTAGATTATGTACATACCACAATTGTTTAGATGACTCCCATCTCTACAACCAATAGGAAAGCCGGTTTCGTCAATGTTATAGATACATCTCATGGTTTTTGGAATATGTTTCCCGTTTATATCACAAATGAAATTGTCATCTACGGCTTGGTAATCTAGTGCAGTGTAAAATAAATTTGCTATGACCTCGTCAATTTGAATATGTGATCTACAGCAGTATGATGGAATAGATGTTGCTATGACCTTGATAATTTGAATATGTAATCTACAGTAGTATGAAACAATAAAAAATTCTGCCATGACAATGTCAATTTAGGTAAGTAATCTAAAGTAGTATATAACGTTTTACATCAAGAACAAAATTGTGCTTTTTCAAAAGTTTGAGGTATGGATCTGGACTTTCAGTGCAAAATATTGACAAATGCTAGGACAGCACATGCAACAAGAAATTAATGAAAGAAAAACAACGAAATAACTCCTGTGTATGTGTCAACAGAAATACATTTGATAGCTGTTGTCACCATTTCAAAACAACAAAAAGTGCCAAATACAAAATAAATACACGGTACGGTCATTTAAAAGGTATATTTCATGTCCAATACGTAACCTTTTCATTGATAAGGGCATGTGGGCGATTCACCAATGACATTCCATTTGCTTGGGCCTGACTTGGAAACATACCCTGTAACATAACATGTTAGGGTTTGACATCCAAGAGTTACTTTGATCTTGGAAGTATGGGGTCGGATGTTGCGCAGGACACGTCGCCTTATTATTGTGAACATGTGTGCTACGCAATTTGCAACATTATTTGATCTGTGGAAAGTAATGGACCGGATACAAAATCACCTTATAAAATACCTATTAAGCTTTGATCTCCAATTGTCACCTTGAGCTTAGAGGTAGGGGTCCAGCAGGTGTTGCGCAAGATACATCGTCTTATTATTGTGAACATTTGCACAATCTCTTGATCTACGAAACAGTTATGACCGGACACAAAATACTCTTTATTACAGACCATGTTACACTTTTACCTCCGAATGTGACATTGACTTTCACGGTAGGTATCTATAAGTCGTCTTATAATTGTGAAATTTTTAGTATCTAGTATTATCAAAATCCTTGATGGATGAAAAAGTTTCGGACCGGACACAACATATACCCTCAAATAGACAATGTTGACTTTAGATAACCAAGTGTGACCTTGACCTTGGAGGTAGGGGCACGGGTGTTGCACATGGCACATCGTTTTAATATAGCAATCATTTGTGCAAAGTTGTTAGTAAATTCATTCGATAAATGGCTTAGTGCAATCATTTGTGCAAAGTTATTAGTAAATTCACTTGAT